TGCTCTCTTTCGACGGCTGCGCTCGTGGCTTCCAAGGTGATTGTCTCTGTGGGTGTCTCCTCAGACCTTCTCCCGGAATCCCAGGAGCTCCACGCAGCTTTTGCGGAGACAGTGGCATCCGTCCCTGCCAGAACCAGTTGAGACCCTCGCACCACTGATACTGACTGGCCACACAGACGTGACCCGCTATGGGCCTCATGCATGGCAGACTATCATGAGTTCTGGCTGACCACCACAACTGCCTCCCCTCCTGACTGTGTGCAGATCCATTTGCAGCTGGAGCCACCATTGCCTCCACGAACTCGCAATGCTCATGTCGCTCACTGTGCAGCCATGCGCGCGATGCAAGAGCTAGGTTTTGGGCGGGCATCAGTGCTCTACGGAAGAACTTGCAGCAAGGCTCTTGCCGGCACACAGGAGGCCACCGCATATTCCTCAATGGACTCTGGTAGCTCCAGCGGAAGAGAATGCTGGCATGCCTCCCGAAGATGCGACAGCGTTGGAGCAGCATCAGAGAAAGTGGAGAGCTTCAGCGCAGGTGGCTGCACCTGCAGCAGCAACGCCTCTGCACATCCTCAACCTGGCTGAAGTTGGCAGCATGGCTTCAGCAGATCACCTCTTGCAAATGGCAGGCATGCCGCTTGAGCACAAGACAACTTGAATTGCTTTCTCGTGTCCTGTCGCCTTCACTTCGATGGTGCTGCACTCCAGCAAAGTCTGTTTTCGTTGTTTGCACTGATCATCACGGAAGATGCCCCAAGGCATCAAACACTAGAACCGGCTTGGTGTGGGAGCAAAAGACACACGTCCATTTGGCTCTAAGGACACTCGTCCTGCCATTCCACGCCAACCTTTCCTTCGACTGCTCTTTGGAGATCCTAAGCAAAGCCCTGGTGGTATAGCCGATGGTTTGAGAGAACACAGAGCTCTGCTCCTTGAGGCTCCTATTGGCCTCTTGGCTGCACATCGATGGTTCATGCCACATGACCTGCCCACAGTGATCTGCAGGTTCCTGCAAAGTAGTGCGGAGGTTCCCCTCGCCAATCTGATCGAAGCTGCAGGGAAGCAAGTTATGGCCGGCTTGACGCCACTGCCTCAGTACCCTGCCAGCAGGTGCCGCGTTGCAAGCAGCCCACAAAGCCCTCGGAACAGTCGACTTCAGCACACCGGAGGGTCTCTCAGCATGGCCTTGATGTGCTATCACGCGGCCAGAACATTGCCACCAATTCGAACATGAGCCTCTCATTGGCATCCAATACCCCATGCTCTGAAGCTGTAAAATGGACAGTGGCACATGGGGACAAGCTCCATACGGGAGAGTGAGGAGAAGCCCACTGGGCTGAGGTTTGTTCAGTGGATCCACCATGACCCCATGTACCGCACGCCCAGAGTGCAGGGGATGGCATGCCCATGCATGTGTATAGCGAAGGACTGAAACTTGGAATGACGTCAGTTCGGCATTAGATTGTCTACGCACTCAGATCGACAGCCAAAAACGCTGTCTTTTCAGGGCCCACTAGCATGTCGCACGCCAAAAAACACGTTCGGGCTTCTAAGTGCGATCATCAAAAATGTGACTTCTTCAGAACGCACGCAAAAACCGTACCAACATGCAAACATCGCCAATTTATGAATGATACCGGTTGAACCACTTCTTATTGTGCGTGGATGGGCAGGGTGTTGTTCTGTCAATATGTTTGTGTTTTGTTCCGGGCAGGAAGCTAGAATGTCACTCTCTAATCAATTTGCAATGTGGAAACAAGAGAAGTTTTCACGGCGGTTGTATGTTGGGGGGCTTGTCACTGAAGCCTGCATGTCCACAGGTTTTTGAACTTGGGCCTTTGATGTGTCTTAAAGCTGCAAATAAAACAGCGTTGGCAAAGGTTTGTTGAACGCAACCTTTTCAACTGGACATATGTAATGTGAATGTAATTTCCTGCCTGATCCAGCTGCACTCAGTGGCTTCAACTGACGCTTTCCCCAAAATCGAAAAAACAACAAAAGGATGAACATTAATGACAGGAAAATCCATTTGCCTTTCCTCTTCCTTTTCTTTCCCTCTTCATTTCCTTTCCGTTTGCCTTTTTCCTTTTCTGTCTCATTCGTCTCATTGTTAAGGAGAAACCATGAAAGGACAACAAGACATCCCATTTGTTTCATTGTTCCCTTTGTCCTTCCTCTTCCTGTCCTCTTGCCCTCTTGCCTTTTCTTCCTTTACCCGTACAAATCGACAATTCCAAAAGAGATCAGTGCGTCGATGACTTTTGGGGCGCGACATTCTGTGTGATGCCCCGAAAAAGCCTTTCTGCAGCTGATCTTACCCACAACAGGAGTCCTCCCCCCGCTTCGGGTGTTTTCGCGGGAGTTTCGACGACAGGTACGTCATTCTAAGTTTTAGTCCGTCACTATACAAATACACATGTACAGAGATTAAATCGTTCCGACATATTCACTGATTGTTCACTTTCTTTGCAAAAGCGCGTAGTTCTTTGCCCTGGGCCAGGCATTCCAGGGCGTGGAAGGGCTGCGGTGAAGCATATGCCACAGCACATTTTATGTTTAATGGAAAAGGACATTTCACATTGTTACAAGGGCCTCAGATAGAATGTAACGTCTTCGTGTACGCGTGGACTCAACATTAGTCAGTACAAATTTCCAAACAGACCTTAACTTTCAGTCCGTCGGTATATTTAAATATGTCAATGCACCCTTTGTGCAAAGTCATTGGTGCAGCTACGATACTTTAAATTGAAGTGCTTTGCGCGATATTTTGCGATTTTTTCCTGGTGCAAGCCTTTTGCCACGTGGATTCCTTTCCTTCTGCCACTTGACATTTCGCATCTCTGGAGAGTTTTGTTCTTGCAAAATCGACCGCCGTGTTGTTGTGATTTCAAGAGCGTAAACTAGTCAAGATTAAACCGTGCAAATGTTGTAAACACTTGCATTTCTTTTCAATGTGAAAAGGTGCAATTGTCACACTGCCGCAAAAACGCCATGCCTATTGTTATTTTTATCGTTTTGAAAATGAACTGTTGGTCGGAAACATTTTGTTGCATGTTGACAAGGCAAACACACATTGTACTTTGCTTTATGGATATTTGTCATAGCTCGCACCTTGAAATGTTTTCAAGACTTTCAATATACTGTATAGTTTGCAATAGTGATAGAAATTGTTACTGTATGTTATTGCTTTGCACAGTTTCTTTGCACCTCGATTATCGTGTTTGCCGGGCATAGAATCAGCTTTGTACTTTTTTGACGCGCTGTTCTTTCCAAACGTTGCAAGACACAGCTTTGAGTTTGACTTGTGTAGTAACATGAGGACATTTGTAAACGGCATTTATGTGACACCAATTTGCATCCCAAATCTTTCTTGCATTGATGTGCAAAACCAGCGGCAGCTTGGAAACAGGCTTGAGACAGTGTCGGAACTTTTTGATTGCTGAAACAGCGAACGTACTTTTCTGTCTCCTAGTGAACCGCCGTGGATTTGCCGTTATTTTTTTGCAATGTTTTCTGTGGTGGGCAGTTGCGACTGCAGTGTAGCTGTCTCGAAGCTGGTGGTACAAGAACTACCTGGAAAGGCGTATGCCGTATGCTGTAGCTGGGGAGCAGCTGCTTTCGACCTTTTTTTCAAGGATTGTTCCCTGTGGGATTTATCCAGAATGTGTGTTTTGAGGTAATTACCCGCAAGTGAACAGAATCTGTCCGAGTGGACACCACTTGACTTTCTGCAAACCTTGGCCCAAACACAGGAAAGAAACTGCGGAACTTTGGAGAGAGGTTGCCAATTGGGTCGAGTGACCTTCATGGATAGTATTGTAGATTTTGGAAGGTTTAAGTTGTGCTGTTGCAAACCAGCTCTTGTGAACGGAAGGGTGCAAAATGCAGATGCTAGGGGCAGAAACAAAGATTTGCCGCCGGCTTGCGCCATGAAGAAGTCGTCAAATGTATGGCTAGCGTTTGCTTTGAGTTTTGCTTGGGTTGACCAATTCGCCTTTACTGGCTTCCGTTCTTGTCTTCATACGACCTCTGTTCCTGGTCGCTCTCACACAGTCCGACTTTATGCAGTGAAAGGCTATTTTGCTATCAGAGACCTTCTAGTTGTGGAGCGAAAAGAGGAAGATGTTGCTGCTTTTCATGAAAGCGAACGCAAACGTTGGCGAAAAGTCTACGATGAGGAATATGTCGAGACACCCCAGGACTTCTACCCGGGAGATCGCGTTGAGGTTATTGCTGATGTCAGTGTGAACAAGGATATCAGAAGTGCAGAAGGCATGAGAGGTGTGGTGACCCACTTTGACTTTGATGATGGGTATGAATCCTGTCAGACCTGCCAATCTTCATACCCTGTCACAGTTCTTTTGGATGAGATTCCAGAGTGAGCTGCTTCATGAGTATGTCGCATTTGGTGAAAATACTAGCCAGGAGACATGCTTCAAAATCATATTGAAGCCTGCTCATGTTGCTCTGCAGAATTCTCCATTGAGTTCTTATCACTGTCATCAAACGTTCAAGGGTGCCATTATGCTTGTAAGATTGTGTTGTAGATTGTCGAAAACGGAGGTTCCATTCGATTGTGGCGGGATGGGACATCGATGGAGGTGCTTAAAACGTTTGTTTGAGGCTATACACGCTTCTCGTTATTGCAGGCTGGCCTGGGCAGACTGTTTCCATGGCTCAAGAGTTAGTTTGGATCAACTCGCAACTCGCAACTGCAAGTGCCCTTCATTATCTAGTCAAGTGTCAAGCTTCTTGGGGTGGATTTCTTGACGTGCTTTAAGCTTACGCTTAATCCGCAGGCAAAGCAAGTTGACAACACACATAGCATGGTGGGAATTCAGCACATGGCTTGCCTCTGACCAGCAGGTGTGGCAGTTTCCAGAGCCAGCCAAGATGGCTTTTCATGAGTGGTGTTTGGTGTTCTGGGTGTGGATGTATGGCAGCTCCAGCCCAATCTTCTCTAAGTGTGCTTGAGGTGGCAAACGACGCCAGCTTCCATGCATGTGTCGCATAGAGGCCAGGGCTGCTTCAGCAAGACCTTATCAGCGTGCATGCGGCCAAACCCTTTTACATATCTCTCAACAGATTTGCTCTAACAATGCATCTTAAAGGATCTTTGAATTGAGATGTGCGACTCTACACTCAGGCACATGGCTGCAGCGGAGATGCTTTGGCGTCCTGGTGGTTTTAGGGTTGCACTTGATACAGGCCGCTTGACTTTTTTGATGTAGCCTTGCTTCTGAGACATTGTTGAGATGCTAATTTGAAGCTGAACACAACACGTGCTACGTTATCATTGCCACGGTGCACTTGTGCATTTTATCGGCGGAGCAACACGAATTCTTTTCGATCATCGCCCTAGTATATAAGTATATGAGACTAAGTCTTAGTCAATATCGTCCGGAAAAGCCATTTCAAATTTCATAGTCCCGGACAGGTTTCTGGCAACTTCACGGTTGTGCTCAACGTCTCATCCTTTGCGGTTTGGCAATGCCTTCCAAAACAAATACACTGAACAAAAGCACTCTTCAATGGTTCCTTGCCTACTCTGTGTATCCAAATAAAGGCTATAGCGGCTGGAGACATTTTTGGCATATGTCCACTTGGCTTCACAGGCATCAACTCCGCCTTGGAGACAGAACCCGAGCGGTAGCTCGGCTGCAATGAGAGCTCGCATTTTGATGGCTCGACGGACAATTTGAAGATCCGGAGGAATAGTGCAAGCTTCACCAGCAAGCAGCCCAGGCTCTAATCTCCAGCTGCTGGTGCCAAGCTAAGTTTTTCCATTCTGCAGTTTTGGAAGATGCACCTGACACCACTGTGCACATGCATGAGCTCAAGAAACCACTTCCTTTGAAGAAAGAGACGAAACCTGGGCTTTGCTCACAATCACTGCGACGCATTTGGTTGCTCAAGCTTTGAGTAGTTGGGAAATTGGGATGGTTAGTGTATGCTGTGCCTGGAACTTGGTATTGCTGTTGCAAACATGTTACGCACAGGATCTTACAAGCACTCCGGCAAGGGTGGCATTGTCCTAGGATCAGAGTGTGGGCACCTGATTCTCATGGCAAACACTGCCAGTGGCGGAAGCCTGAAAAAGAGGATCGTACCAGACAGAGCGCAAGCGCTTTCATTGTTTTGAGACTCAGGCTTTGTGGCCGAAGGGAAGGCCTATGAAAAGCACCCTGTCTACATTCCAAAGATTGACAAGTGAAGCTTTCGGAATTCTCGAATGACAGAGTTGTTCTACCACTCGGAGGAGTTCCAGCCCCAACTCAGGATTGTCTATGTAAGCAAAGATCGGTTGCAGGAGACAGCCGGTATGTCATGTGCATCATGCGTTTTTTGTTTGGTACCGCTCTTGATATTGTGGTTGGCCACAGGAAAACCCAACCTCAACCCACCAATGACTAGATTCCTCGCAAAGCTATGACCAGAGTTGCCAAAAGGTGCCCTTGCTAATGATTCAGCTCAGGTGTCGGATTCTATTCTCAGGAGCTGAAAAAGAAGCTCAGTGGAAAAAGCAAGGGATCTGATGCTGGGCAGCGGCGAGTGGAATGCAACTCCAAACGTTGCAAATTAAGTTCAACTGTTTGGAGTCTGCGGTGACCTGTTAAGAGTTGTATTGTAGTATCTAAGTACCTGAAGGCTGCTCATCCAAGGATATTTCCACAGAGGATGTGAAAGGTCTGATGCACCTGGACTCGATGTTAGGATTGATTGGAGGAGCTTGTGAAGCGCTAAACGCCACCCAATTGGCTCAAGTATTACTACTTCGTGAGGTATCCAGAAGACATGGACGATGATTCGCTTCTCATCCCGGTGGATGTCTCGGGAGAAGAAGATGGCCTTCCTACGAGCTTCGAAGAGCTCGTGGAGAAGGTGTTGCAATGGGAATCTATTGACCAATGTACGCTTAGACTTCACACAGCTTTCACCTGACTTTACTTGTGCTTGGGTCTGAATGGCATAGACACAAAAGCTTTCAAAAATACCGCAAGTCGCAAGTGCCACACTAGTTTGGATGTTATTTTTGTCACTACTGCCAGGTTGGTGCTCTTGGAGCGGTGCAAGCCATGATAAGGGCGGCGGACCACTTTGTGACTCGGCTTCGGTGTTTGCTTGAGTCTGGTTCACAGTAGTTGACCCGCTCGCTTCAGGAGAAAAACAGAAAAAGATTTAGTACAGACCAGCAACTTGCTTGCACCATTGTTGGCGGCAGGATGACTGTCTGTTACTGAAGTGGAGAGGCAACGTGGAGTTCCCTTACCTGTTGAATGCCTCAAGAGTTGAAAATGAATTATATAAGGATATTGCTGTGAATACCTCCCAGCGTTCCCAAGGCTGCCCATTCCCATGACCGTGGGTGACTTGCCAGCATTCCAAGATGTTCTTGAATCGAACCGACATCAAATCATTCAGGAGCTATAGGGTGCAACATGGGCACCGTCTTTGCTAGTGACCTTGTTTTGAATTGAATTGGAAGCTCTTCTGGCTGAATTTGTCTTTGCTCAGGTGAATGGATGACATTCTTGTCCGCTGAGGAGGGGGTGGAAGGTGGTGAAGAAGAGGAATTAGAGGATGACGAGGCTGTGACGCTGAGAATGTGATCAGGGCAGAGTTTTGGAATGCACATGACACACCCACCAGCACACATTGCATATAATAACCGTTTGTAAAAGTAGTAAACATTGCTTCTAGTATACCTCACATTCAACAATGCAAACAACCTGAGCCCTTCGGCGTCCGGATGCTACGTCCGGGAACATGTTTACAACCAACTATCCATCCCAAGTCCCTTAAAACTTTTGCCTATGGTATTATACACATGGTACAAGTGATATTGATATTGAACATATTCTTCGAAGACCAACTATCATGTGGTCTTGCTTCGTACAAGGTGGTCGAGCCCACGCCGAAGAAGAAGAGGAGGGTGAAATGAACAAGAGGAGGATATGCTACGATGCTAGCCCATTGGCAGTTGCGGCAGTCGACAATGTTCACTGACTTCCGAAGATGCAATCTTTCGAATCTTTTTCGATTCAGCATCGCGGGGCTTTTCAATTTCCTTCTAGCCCTTCTTGGCGCAGTGAGGGGACGCCTACATACTTGCTAGACATCTGCTGTCAGTCCGCATCAGAGCCTGCTGAGCAGAACTCTGACAGGGTATCTTGGGCCAAAGCATGGTATGCGAGGTGGGAAAAAAGACAAGCAGAGACTAGAAGAGACTCGAACCAGAAGCTTGAGAGTAGAAGATATATGATATATATTTATATATATATAATATCTATATTTATCTTTCTAAAGGGGGGGTAGGCCGCTAGTAGAGGTAGGTAGTAGCTAGGTAGGTAGCTAGTAGGGAGAGGTAGCTAGTAGTTTAAGTACCTACTACTTCGGATGCAGGACAGGATAGCTCACGCTTCTTAGAGGCGGCGGGGGGAGCTTCCTTGAAGAAGCGCTCGCACTGTTCATGTGGTTCCTAGATTTTTGGCGACACTAGTGAGTATTCTTTTGCAATTGCAGTACTGTTCAAGTCTCTGGCAAGAGTCCTCTGGTAGTGGCTTTGCATTTCCTGCTGTTTGAGGTTCGTAGACTGCAGGATGACCCAAAGGCCAGCTTGAGACTTGCCAACATGAAGACTAGACAAGCATGCGGACAGCCATTCTATTGTTGGTTTTGGAGAACCTTATGTCACTTCAATGTTGCAGGTCATTACTGGCCAGTTCCACACTTGGTGAAAACCTTTCATCAGAGCCCAAAGTTCGACTGTGAGAGTGTCAACGGTGAACACCTTTGGCTCATTTGCTCTCTGAGGCTCGACTACACTCGCACATCGTTTTCTTTTACCTTCGAGAATGATATTGAAGCACCTATACTGTCACTTCCTCAGTCCCAGTGGCAGGATTTGTGACATGGGCTAAGTGCTCAGGTGCCAACCTACCACCTGTCAGCCAACGGCAATTGGTATCTATGCTGGGGTGACCATCTCACAAGTGGAGGCTTGGGCCCAAGCTATTAGTAACAAGTGCCACGCTAGTAGTAACAGGTGCCTTACTAGTAGTAACAAGAAGCTATTAGTAACAAGTGCCCAATTGGGTTTTCTGGAATCGCGAGCTCAATTTTGTGCATTGACCTGTGCGGTCTTTCTCGCGCAGATCATCATCGATCCAGACACCTTCAATGCACCCGGAGCCAAATTGCGCATCGTTTTCGATGCGGTAGATCGGGTGTGAGCCTCTACCTGATGTGCAAGTCATCCTTGCTGCAGTTCAGTCCTGGAAGTACATTTTTTGGACAATGAGCTTCAGCCAATCATAAGGGTGCCATTGTATATATATATAATATTTTTGTTATATACACATATGTACACATATTGGAATGATTGAAATGTGATATTTGTTGAAGTGAATCCACCATCAACTCCTGCTGGCAGGGTTTATTCAGAGGTTATTTGTAGTTATTGCTTCGGTTCTGCCTTAAATCCTCCCTCACTGACCTGGTTTTGATGCGCACATGCTGCTGAGGCCGGTGCAAATGTTGGACAGTGTAGGTATGGAAACTTTGCCTACGGTGCACACTCTGCTATCGTTCCGCAACCTTGGCTCCGCCCTGAGATGCCTTGTGGGCAACATCAGCTTTTGAGTTGAGGGTATTAATTATCCGTACTGGTGTTCCCTTGGATGTCCACTGCATTCCAGGGCTGGGGTCGGTGCTTCCACCATCTCTTTGGGTCAGCTCCTCAAGAGGGATACGAAAGATTCTGACGTTCTGAAAGAAAGAGGGTGGCCAAGTTTTTGTCTTATGCAGGGGCTTGTGTGATTTGTACGCGATTGCTAAGATGATCTAAGATGGTACATGGTTACACCTTTTGCTCCAGCTACTACACTATCGAATCTTGATTGGGACAAGTTGAACATGTTGGCAGATGGGAGCATGCAAGCAAAGATCGACCTGGCCAACTTCATTCCGTTGCTGTGGCATCCTCGGACAACGTTCATTTGGCATTTTCCACTGGCACATTGGCTTTGCCAAGAAAGCTCAAATTGGTTCTCATACTTGGATTTTGTTAGGATGTCCAACTAGAATATCGCATAGTGTTATGTTTTGCAACTTGGAGATCTTGGCTGAGGTTCAAAATGGGTGGCATCTATCACATTTGCTATTCTGATGATGGATCTTTTGATCCTGGACACACAGACATTGTGCCGCAGAGGATTGAGGCGAGCAAATGCTTTCGATTTCCTTGTCATGACAGGGTCACAAGGAAGTCTTTGCCGGTCTTTAGACATGTATATCCACGCTGAATGTGATTTTGACTTGGACTATGCGTGCAGCTTGGAGTTGGTTGATGTGTGTGTGTGTGTGCCATGATTCTTTATGCCTTTGGACTGCTCGAGGTCTACGGTGTCTTCGATCACAGAACGCAGTGCGCTGAAGGCTGAATTGACATACCTATACCTCCACTTGTATAGTCTATTGGTATAATTCAGTTTCTCCGGCCAATCCACGCTGACATTTTCTTTGAGCTTTCCATCTGCATCCTTTTTGCAGATGAGACTTGCCTCACCTATCGGCCCTACCACTGTTTCTTGCGGCGGCAAGCTTACAACAACATGGACGATGTTCGCGCCCCAGGGTAATTCTCCAAGTGAGTCCAGATTTGAGCTGAAAGAACATTTGGACCTTCCCAACGGCTACACAGTGGAACAAGCGGGCGGGACATCCCAATGGCTTTTGACACCAAGCGACTGGATCCTTCGAAGCACCGGCTCAACTCAGACCTATGGCGGAACCTCTTCTTGTGTTGTGGACTACAGCTACGAAGGGGCAGGCTCGGTGATGTGTTGTGTGGCCGTCAACATGATGACTGCACCTGACTACAGGCTTTACTGGCTTCCCTGGCCTTGGATCATGGACTGGGCCATTTGCAACAAGCACGAGCCTTGGCACACTTCACTGGGCTGAGCATGTATCCTGTTCCAAAGTCACTCCATAAGAGTCCCCGCGACGTGTCCACGCAAGCTGGAGTCTTATTTGTATACTGTATATTTGTACTGTTTAGACCACCGGAAGTTGAGAAGCTCAGACAATACTCACAGCCACAGCAGTCAACAACCAGCCAATCTGAGCGTAGCTGCAGCTGTGTCAATTGCACTCCCCATGACTTTCTGACATTAGAAGAATGGAAGGTCCTTCAGTATCGAGCATTCACCATCTGACCAACCAAATCTGAGCAGTTTTCTTTTGCACTTTATGGAGGCTGTGATGTTCCACGTGAGTCACCCTGATGTCACCACCCTCCCACCGTTCGTTCCGTTCGAGTCACCTGCAAGTCTCGCTCTTCCGCAGCCCACGATGCCGATGGCAAAGTGACCAACGACGTGGCCCGCACCTGCGGCTCCTCAGGGGTGTGAGGCCCAGAGTTGGCACGGTCAGGCTCGGTGTCGGCGGAGAACCGTGAAGAATAGATGAGGGTGACTAGCATTAACAGATAAGGCCATCCCCATCAGATAGGACTCAAGCAACCGATTGGCAACCACGCACGTATCCAGATTACGTCCATAATGTCTACTTTTTCACAAGCCTTAGGTTGATGTATTCTGAGTGAGGGAATGACTTAGTTCCATATATGGTGGCCCAGCAGTACATCCACACATTTTTGCAACGGCAACCTTGACTGAAGCGACCTCAGCGTGGATTGGTTCTAGAGTTATAGCTGTGTAACCTGTGGGCTTGGCTAGCGGCTATTGCCTTCTGATTTCAAAGGCAGAATGTAAGGGGATGCTTTTGTCTGAGATAAATGCCTGCCTGCTGCTGGCTAAGTTCAATGACTACCCAGCAGTTTTCCTCTGCAATGCGAACGGTGCATGTGGAGCTATTACTGATGCAAGGGACCGCCCGTTGTCTTGATTCTTGCAAAAGTACCAGTGCACATAAGATCTTTGTATGGTTGCCAGTGATCTGGCCTCCTTCCCGATTTTGCAGGACCCCTACATAACGCCCGATGCGGCACACAGCTACAAGAGTTCAGTGCTGAGTTTTCTCTCTTGGCCTTTTCTTGGTGCATGGGGAGAAAATCCTGAAAAACCCCGTTGCATCATTTTTCTTTGAACATTTTGCATCATTTTTTCTTCATTATTCTGAGGAATCACCATCCCACCTGGGCGCCCAGATTTGCAGGGACCGGACTACCAGGCTTATGCCGTGGCGGTGGGGCGCCTCAGAATATCGGGTGAGGTGTGAAGGGCAGAGAAAAGAAGTCCTAAAAGAGGTGTGAAAAAAGACAACCGTCCTGTTGCATCTCTTCAATGTTCTTTTTCTTCAAAGAATTTCCATGTTGGAGTGTTTGCAAAGAGACTGGCTGAGGCTTGCTACTGCCCAGACTTCCAGAGGTGCGATGAGTTCAGCCCGGACTTTGTGCAGCAGGCTCTTCAGCCCAGCGCAGACGGAACTTAGTAGTAAGAATGCTCCTAGTAGCGATGCCAGGAGCCCCTAGTAGCGTCCTTGCTACTAGTAGCGATGCCCTTTGTTCCTAGTAGCGTCCTCTTGCTCCTAGTAGCAAGGCCAGGAGCCCCTAGTAGAGTCCTTGCTCCTAGTAGCGATGCCCTTTGTTCCCAGTAGCTTCTTGTAGTAATGCAACGTGATTTGCCCTGTCAGGTTGGGCTCCTGTACTTCTATGCCACCAAGGCACCGTCGACCCCATGAGGAAAGACTTTGCATGTCACTCTGGATCTGCTGGAAGTGCTTGAATTGAATAGTATATATATATGTACTTGCGCTTTTGAAGCATCAACCTACAATTGACCTACAAGGAAAGTGATCTGAACTTTTGTTGACGGCCCGCACCATCTGAACACCTTCCGGACATTTGCTTTGAAGCGGATGCACAAATGATGATCAGAACTTGACAGCTGCAGATTTTTGAGACCTTTGTTACCATCCTGGTCATGTAGGTCCTATCTTGATGTTTACTGTATTACTGTATATCTTGGACGTAGATGGTCATCCCGCGCCCATCTCACAGCCTTTGTAGTAGACTCTGGAATTCAACGGTCTCAAAGAGAGGTTTTGAAGCAGGAGTTGTCCTAAGTGACCTAGCCAGGTTTGTCCCAACGGCTTCGAAGCGACGATGTGCGCTCTGGATTTCACAGGCGGAGTTCTGGTTTGAGCTGGGGATGTAGCTGAGGATTGACGCAGAACTTTCCATTTTCAACTTGACTGAAGCCAAGTGCACTTACTGCGGAATCTCAAGCTTACACACCAGTGATGAGTTAGGTTTGTAACTTTGGAATAGAAAGGCTGCTGGTAGTCCTCAGATCGGGGACAAAAGACTCACCATCCAGCTATTGCATGGGCCTTTTTCTCGAGGTGCTGCACCACAGCATCGCTTTGTTGGAGCCTGAGGAGATCTCAAATGCCAAAACACCCAAGAGTGGGAGATTAGTATCAACATATACCCATTCATTGAACCGTGACAGAAAATTCATTGCAACTGCTGGAGGCTCTGCAGGCCGACCTGCAAGTTGAAAAGTCATTGTTGTGGCATGCTAAGGCTTTGCGTGTTGAGTGTCCCAGCACTGCGTGTGCTTACGCGGACAAAAGCCGAGTAAAGATTGTTCAGCAAGCAGTTGGGACCTCAGGATGACTACTGACGAGAGACTGTACTCTGCAACAGAAATTCGTGGGACCGGATCAGTCCGAACAAATGTAAGGTGTTTTATTTCTTTAGCCCGCTCCTACTTAATTTAGTAAGCGTCTACTTAATTAAGTAAGGGAGTAAGCTACTAGCTACTTAAGCTACCACAGACGGACGCAGGATAGCGCATGCCCCCTTCAAGAAGCGCTCGCACTATTCATTTGATTCCTTTTTTCTGCCTGACCTTGGAAGTCCATCGCCCATTGGCATGATCTGCGGCTTTTCGTACACTTCATGCATTTTCATGCAGCGGTCTAGCTAGGCAGCGAACCTCGCAGGACTCTACTTGTGAAATGAATCCAGGGAGATCATTTGATAACGAACAAACCATGGCTCTCCTCTGTTGTGCGTACCCTCGACTCCTCAACCTGCCGTGGAGGCTACGAACAACTTGCCGTACTGGGATCCCACGGCCACATGTTCCTCTGCAGTGCATGGGGTGAACAGCGAGGGCTTGCAGGTGCCTGGGCTCTGGTGTTTGTTGGACATGCCATCCAATGTCAAGCCAACGCTATCTTTTTTTTGGCAATTGCAATATTGGTAGCCCCATATTTTCACAACTTCTTTTGTGAAACATGATGTCACTACAAGACGTTTATCAGAACTGTGGTATCCATTGTGTGCTCATATGCAGCATGCATGTTTTTCTGTGGCGCACACTCCTATGCTTTTCAGCATCTCTCATTTTGTTGAAATGTCTCAGGTTCTACCAATGGACGATAATCCAGACGTTGCACCAAGCTTAGTGGCTGGTGAAAGGTTCCTCACACTTGGGCATTCGCGAGGGAGTTGTTCATCATACTGTCATTCCACTTTGCCTATCTTCTCATAAGGCCACCATGCATGGCGGTCTGCGACAGGAGATTGGGAACTTGACCGTGTATGGATAAATCAATTGATGCAGACCTAGAAGATCAGTCTTAGCATGGGGCACTGCGAAGAGGCAAATCTGTGCAACTTATTAGTCAGTTAGTTTTGTGTGTTTTGCTTTCATCCAATTGTGAGATGACAAAGCCCTATCGAAACACTGTGCGCCGCGTCAAACGTTTTGCCCCTTCAAGTGTTGCACGCGTGGTACGTGGCACCAGGATTATAAGCTCTGGAACTTTAAGAACTCGTCCTCTGGCTTGATCTTCGATCCCAAGACTTCAGGCTTTCAGTTCAGGCCCAGTGTCTTCAGTGTCGTCAGTGTCCTCAGTGTCTAGTGTCCTCAGTGTCTTGTCTCCACTAGATGATATTATCCATGATGCAAATAGATGCAGATAGATTTCTGTAAGTTTGATCAAGGATGTCTTCTCCCCATCACACCATGCTGAACACATTTCGAGGCTTAAGCAATTTGTTCGTGATTGTTGCCCTAATAGCGTCCTTGCTCCTAGTAGCGATGCCCTTTGCTCCTAGTAGGGTTCTTGCTCCTAGTAGTAAGGCCAGGAGCCCCTAGTAGCGTCCTTGCTCCTAGTAGCGATAGAGTCATAGTTTTCATCGCTGCCTGGCTCGGAGTGAATTCTCCAATTTTGACCCCCGTGCGGGGGGTGGTAGCTGTGGCGGATGACGACTCCAGACCTATTTACAACTGTGTCCTGGATGCACCAGACAGAATTCAGAAGCCTGAAGCCAGGGCCAGGGGTGTTTGCAGCTGTATCACTTTCATCCTCAGGTGGGCTTTGAGAAAAGCAAGATTGGCGCCAATGCGACTTCTCAGCGCTAGAAACCAAACCATACGTTCTTCTCCGCTGCGCCGCTGCGCTGCGGACTCCTGCATTTGTTTGGAGTGGCAGACCCTGAGCTTCCTGCCGAGGAAACCGAGTTGGGCTACGCGTCTGGAGCCCTAATTCAGAGCCTTAATCATGCAAACTCCAGTGCATGAGCCACTACCTGGTAGCCTAATATTGCCTTTCTCTCTGCATCCCAAACCTGAGGACAAGAAACGGTTAGTTTCCCTCATGACCATGTGAAAGGCAGAAGTTTACAAGAACCCTTGACTTAATAGCTACTAGCTGCTTACTTAGCTTACTTAAGCTCTTACTAGCCGCCTACCCTCTCAAAACAAAGAAGAAAGACGTATATAGCTGTGCCTTGAGATTTAAGCATCTCTCGGACCATAGCTCCTGAGGATCAAAAGGACTCGTTTGATCGGGCTGATGGTCGGAAGCATCGGCTGCATTGGCATCCTGGCGCTCCTGGGAGTGTGGTCACAATTCGAGTGCCTGTGGCTGCAGGTTACCTCGATTTGGAATCTGAATTCGAGAGTTGACCTGTAACTGCTTGTAAGTCGGGGGTGATGCACGATGTTGCCAAGATGGAACCGTTACAGACACCAGAGATGGGTTCTCAGGACTTTTGTGTGAAGGTCTCCAACGTTGCATTGACATAAACTGGTGCCAGCGAACTGTAGAACAAGAGAGCTGGGACAGGGAATTTTGGTCAAGAAGGGACGAATGGGAAGAGAGGACACGGGAACTGGAGGTCCTAGTAGCGTCCTTGCTCCTAGTAGGAAATGGGGAGTTGAAAAAGAGACGGTGAAGAAGAACTCCCGTTTGTCGGAATTCTTATTATTTCCAAACATTCCCTCGTCGCGCCACCAATCGCTTTGTGCCAGGATCCACCTCGAAAAGCGAGCTCTTCATAAAGACCTCCGACGAGAGGAGCACCATGCAGCATCCAAGCTGGCCCAGGCCGACTTTGATGAGACGATGATTTGATGTTCGAATGTGTTTCTTTCACCCTGGTGATGGTTTTGTGCGACTGAATGCACATTTGTGATAGCAGTACATGCCGAGCATGGGAGCATGGTGGTTTGGATTTGCACATCAAATCCTTGGTGCCAATCACAGAGCTCGTCCGGAAGTCACTAATGATTGGACAACAATGTCTTCAACTGATTTGCGGCTCCGTTTTGATTGTTTCCGACCACTCCAATTTGCAGCCGTGCCAAAGCAGTCATACGCTTTCTGGGGGCAGTTTAATTTGACAAGGGAGCTTGGCAATGTCCTCAGCTGCCTTGTCCAATTCAGCTGCCTTGGAGTCTGGACTGTCGGCGTAGGGACTGCTCGAGGTTGGAATGGAACTGTGGTCCGAATATCGAGACGACATCCACGAATCCCACGAGGCCATTGCAAAAGGATATAGCCAGACGGCAGGGGCCACCATTGCAATCTTTCTAGTCAGATACAGATAGAGTCGAGAGCAAGTATAGAAGACTTTTCTTGTGAGCGGAAAGGAAGGCAACCCGTTTCTCAGCTTGTCCTGCCTCGCTGTGCGTTCAACCAATTGGCCTCGTTTGCACAAGAGGGCACCATGGATTTGCGGACTTGCCTATCATATCACTGGCTGCTTGGAACAGGCCCAGATGCTCATGAAGCTCTTGAACTCCTCCTACTCAAATTTTGAGGCCTGCCGAGCTTGAAATGTAGAACGCTGGGACCCTTCGGACCCTTTCCAACGCCAGCATTGTCGGAGATGGATGATTCCCAATTGAAAGAACTAGTGTTGCAGGAAAACTGTCCTACCATGCTCATGATCCCTGTGAGATAACCAGGGCCAGTTGAGCTTGTCTAAAATCTCTAAGCTACTCTATCTGTGCAAGTGGTGGGTCATTCGGTGTTGTCTGATGATGTAAAGCTCGAATGAGTCGCAGATGGTAAAATATGATGCTGATACATATGTAAATAGTAATGATAGAACATGACCTCCGTGGGAAGAACACAGAAGAAGGCAGAAGCTCTCACTCAGGCGTAACTACGACCCAAACAATTTGGACTCACAGTGCTTCGACACACATGAACAGAGCCGCTTACACGCTAGTGAACAGCATAGATGGCCCGACCTACGGCCTTGGTTGGTTGAGTTCTGGGAAGGGGGGATGCCACGACCGTGAACAACCAAGTATATGGCAGGATGTAGTACAAGCAATAGGTATACGGTACCTGGCATCAAGCAAATCGTTGATTCCTGTTCTGTCGGACATCTGCAGGCCAAGGTCAAAGCTACCGTGGATGCGACGTCCAAAGATCTGGGCCTGAACAGTGACAAGGTGGGGGTTTTGGGTGAAGTGCTCGTGCAAGGTGGCCCCTGTGCAGTGCAGAATGGGTTTGGATCATTTTTGTTTGGATGCCCAAATGCACCAGGACAAAGAGCATGGCCTTTTGGAATGAATGCACTTAACATAATAGTCTGATTTACACCAGTTTGGCCTTGGTGCATAGCTGGCATAGAGGCAAATCCTAATTGTGTAGTTTTTGCACCCAGAAAATCCTTGGAGCCTCTTTTGAGTGTCCGGAAGTAGTTAGAAATCCGCACACCTTAACAAAATGTGTGGATAACCTACTGTTCCAATGTGTTGCATTATGCTTGATTTGGTTCTGCAACCGCACTGGCTTGAGTGGCAGCACACCCGGATTCAGTGTTTGTGGCAAGTGATCCTGCTAATGCGCAAGCTGAATCTGAATTGTGGCTTGATGCCAAAACGCTCCAACACCGGAGGGGGGTTTGGGAGGCCGCAAAGCTGGCTGATTCAGTTCTGCGTTTGGTGGGAGCCTTATCCTGGTGGATCTTCTGATTCTCGGCATTGGTTTGTTTAGAAGATCAAGGCTCAGTGAGCAGGGTGGGTGTACACAAAACATTCGGACATGTCGCTCCCATGGCGGTGTGGGGCGTAATTTTCCTTGAAGCAGTTGTGCGGAATGGTTGTTGCGAGCTGCGAACTCACAGCTTTAGAGGTAGTTTGAGACATTGACATGCAGAACACATGTATCGATGTCGATCTTAAATCGATAGGAAATGAGAGTAATGTGCTTAAAACCCTCATTATGAAATAGTTTTGCCTGCCCGGCCTGCGTGAGTCCAGGTCGCAGATCAGCAAAAAGCAGGGATCAAGCACACCAAGAGGTCTTGGCCTGAGTTGCCTTTGATGTGATCTATAAACAAATGACATGCGGGTTTGCAGAGTCCAGCAATGCATGCGTCTTGCTTTACAGGGGCTTTGTTATGAATACAAAAGACAACATTTTTTGTGTGCTCTACTCACAAGTGGCCATGAGCGTTGGACCCCCAAGGGTGATGCTGTGGACAGTTGATGAGAAAGGGCTTACGTCACTGTTTCATCCAACCCAACAAGCGCAGGTAGAGAGGGAGAGGGAGAGGGAGAGAGAGGGAGAGAGAGTCATGAGAAATGCACTGCGAGGGAAGAATCAGCTGCAGCCTGTCTATTTCACGGATCTAGCTGCTAGCTTAACTATTTAACTTCCAACCATACCTCAACACCATGCCCACTGTTTCAGTAGGACTTGTAGGGAACTTCCACCAAGGCTAGTGGATCACCTTGTGGAAGCGGGGAAGCGAGCTGTACCACTGGAAAAGAGGGCTGAAAAAGAGGCGCTCGGCTTTAGAACAGCGAAGCCAAGAACAGGAAGAACAAGTCTGAACAAATTTGGGGATGGATCAACACCTAGGTACAACTCGTGACAACTTGCCTTCAGAGACAACTTTTTTTGTGTATATATATAGAGGAGTACAGAAGAGTTTTGTGTGTGTGCGGAGCCATCAGTCAGGTGTTTCAGGAAGTCCAAGCCGAAGAAAAACTCATAGCAGAGGACTTTGTTGAGATGACAAAGCCATACTTTAACACAAGGTTGTTTCAAGTCTGGTGTTTTGTGCAAATACTCAAAGAATAATCAAAAGCTGTTTGCATCAGGCAGGTAATGCAAGCCATAGCCATAGCTTCTTTTTCTTGAATTTGGAATTGAGCAACCTTTTCGCTTGAGTCTAGATTCAACTGTCTGCAATGGGCCCATGCTTCAAAGAATGGTTGGACAATTGACTTTCTTCATGAATCATGAAGTCTTCCTTTTTCATATTGTTGCATGTTTTTGCAATATCATGTTTTCAGCCTCAGTGACTGAGGGCAATCCATATCCCCCATCGAGGCTGTGGGGCCAGGCTACCTTCAAAGTGTCTCATTTCCTAGGTAGGCTGCAACCAGATTTTGAGATACCGCGAGGCTACATGCTGACTCTCTTGGGTTGGGCTGCGGGTGGCTGGTCCAGCATGCTTGAAATATGGTCACCTTAGAGCTCGTGAACCAATCACCAAACCATAAGGGAATCGAAGTAAATCAAGATTCAAGAACCCTTTGAAGGTACAACTCATTGAAGGTGCAACGACAAG